ACCACCCTGAGCTTCAGAGCTAACTTGACACTAACCTTTTCACTGTAGCCTATCTCCATCGTGTCAAGTAACCTCTGACCAGATTCGAGTGCCCCCGCCGCCCGCCAATCAAATTTAAAGCCCGCACTCAATGACTCATTGAACGATCTAGCCAATGAACGCGAACGAGTCAAAGCGCGCTTTGTTCAAATCCGGACCAATCAAAGATAAGGCTGAATATCAGGGACTTGCCGTAACCTGTGGGCAGCACGCAAAATACATCATCCCTCAGTAGATAATGATGCAGGGCATCATACTGCTCTGGTTTCAATTCCGATATACTCCATGCTTTCTTTGTGTACGGTTATGCACTCGGAACTACTCGGATGTCTCCGCACTCGACAATAACTATGTTGTTAGTATGGAGCTTGCGGAATCAGCCGAGGATTGCCGATTGACGATCAACCAATCAGCGTTTTCACCAAACTTTGGTGAAAAATTTTGAAACATGGATTCGATTGGCTTATATAAAATAGGTCAAACTATTTTCGTCAGAGGTTACTTGACACGATGGAGATAGGCTACAGTGAAAAGGTTAGTGTCAAGTTAGCTCTGAAGCTCAGGGTGACCAGAACAGACTCTGAACCTCACTGATGAGAATTGAGAATTTGGTAGGTAATCTGTCCATTTTAAAGTCATAAATTACAAGTTCCCCCATCTTATCTCAGTGATTTAACTTCAAGTAAAGCAAATCAGAAAATGAAGTTGTTTTAGAAAAAGTTCAGGTAAACTTCTGGAAGAATAGTACTAGACTTGACCTGCCCTGCTCTATAGGACATTTAAGTCCTATCAAACTAAGTGAAAAATGACAACTGGACTGTAGCTAAAAGCAGTATATATTCCATCCACCTCACAGTGCTAGCACTGAAGCAGCTGTTGTCTGACCTGGTAACTTAGGTCAGGCAGTAAGTACTGCAGGTATGCTTCATTTACAACACCTACTTCAAAACTATACCAGGCATGTGCTATATTAGACACAGAGCTGGCAATCCAGCGAATTGCAGTTAGTTCTGGAAATACTTTATCTCATCTGAAGAAGACAAGATTACTTTGTCGGGTGTGCTTCATTTCTTTGGCTATTACTTATTGTTTCAGTGAAGATCTGAAAAATTTACATTCCGTAAAGCCACTAATTGTCTAAAACTAACTCAATTTGGAAAGATGAACTCCAGTGCCCAGAAAAAAAAAACTCAGTCAGAGACCTAGCTGTAGCCCCTGGAGCATGCAAGGCAATTACCTCTCACAACCCTGCCTGAACTCTGTAGCTCTGTTATGTCTGGCTGGAATTACATCTTTAACATACTGAACAGGACAGCACAAGTCCTAATATGGAAGTTTAAATTTAAATGACCACGTGTGGTTCTTTTATTTTGCATTGTCTGTCATGAAAAAAACTTTTAAATTAAGTAACCATCTTTCAGATTTGTTGCCACATTTACTCTATTTCATCTGTCAAATCTTTGCCAGTAGGTAAGGATTAGAATTTCTTTATTAGTCTGTGATGGGAATTCCCAGCCTTTGCTCATTACCACTAACATCATAATACATCAAGAATCCATAATAAAATCCTCACCATGGGCCAGCATAACAAGACACCAGGGGCTGTTGATGGACAGCTAACATGTTTGTATTTCATGAGACCTACACACCTGACTACCTATAACATAATTAAAGATCACCCATCCACAATGCAGGCCACTATGCCAGGAAACTGGGCCACACTGGAGCATTGCCAGATGTTGGCACCTGACTGCTTCCTAAAATAGCTCTACTTCTCCAGCTGGTGTACTATTCCAGGCAGGGGTTTCCCCCGTTTTCCTGAGCCATAAATGGCACAGTGTAATCCAATGCTGTTGATGAGGTCACCAACTGGCAAACTCCACTGAGAACAAGGCTCCAGTGATCTGTGCCTTCAAAGGGAATACCTTGAAAATTTTGAGGACTGTCCTAGTTGTTTAAAGAAAAATCAAGGACTTTCAACCCGAAACTCGGCTAACCATTGACATTAATTACATATCTCCTTTAGTTATTGCGATCAAGCTTTGGTGAAGAGGTTTTACTGATGAATTTCACACCATGAGGTCTCTAAGTAAACGGCCTTTTTCTAATCGCATTATTATTATTTTCAGAATACTGCAAATAACATTCCCAACATGTTTTTCTTGCCATTTTCAGAACCCATTATTCACCCCTAGCTGGCACAAATTTTAAGCTGCAATATGATTCTGTAACTGCGCAGCACCTTATGTAATTACAGCACTGTTTACCCTACCAAACATTAGTCATGACACAGAAATGCAGGTGAGCTATTCTCTTCTGTATACCACTTGGCAGAATTGGGCTGTTACACTGGCAAGGTGCATGGAGTTGCCCTTTGCCTGTTTTTCACCTGTCTGGAGTTTATCATATCTTGATCTTCAAGTTTGGGGTTGGTTTGTGTAAACTGTTTACAGACAGAGCTGCTTGAAATCTGATTTTTCACAGTATTGTAAATAAGCACAGAGCATTAGGGGCTGATCTTTTACCTTTAACACATTGCATTTTTTTTCTCCTTTTTTGTCTTTAGTCTATTTATAGAATTTACTTTGATTCACGGTGAATTCTAACAACCTACCCCTACATACATCATTTGCAAATACTAACTTCCTTGTAAGCTACATGTACACCCTGTCTTCCTATCTTAATCTTTTCACAAAGGAACTCCACTTCTACCGAATCCTTAACACCATCACCTACTTCCCTTTTCACTACCTGTCAGTGCCATTAAGCAGGTATGCTCTTTCTCCTGTCACAGTATGAAGTACCATGGAGCTAGTTGAGCATTAAGCTACCCCAGTCCCCTATATACCCTAGTCTAGATATACTAGGTGTCCCCCAGGTTAAAGAAGCGCACACACTGCAGAGATGCCCCACTTACCACAGGTGGCTGGTAATACTGGAGATGACCAGGCTGGTACAGCTGGGGCTGGTGGGTCATCAGATACTGCTGCAAGGAGAATATGACAATGTGTTATTTACTGAATATTAATATTACACAATATTATTGAAATATAACTCTGTAACAAACCTTATCAGCCTGCTGACCCTATGGACCCTACAGTACAAGGATCAATTGACCCAAAGCAGAAATGATGGCCAGTAATTCAAATTCAATAATTTAAATTATTAAAAATTTTACAGGTGGGCTTTTAATGCCCTTTGACAAGTACAACATTAACATCAGTGCCTGATGTTAACAGTACCCCAATTTGAAACATTGCCATAATTTAATATCAAAATGCACATCAGTCATGAAACACCTGTGTTTAAATTAAAGCACACATTTTCCCCCTCTTTTCCATACCGAAAAAATCCCAAACCTCACACTACCCAAATATTACAAAATACCTCAGCTTAGAAATTCACTTTTATACACTTTCACTTATACACACTTGCTCCTCTTTACAACCCATATTATAACATCTTCCCCCCTCCCTCTCCAAAGCCCTGTTTGCCAACTAATTGGGGCATGTAATGTTTACTGCCATATTACCTCTTACAAGTCTGCAAATGCTTCAGAACTGACAACCTTCATTACAGGTGAATGTAAAGTGGCATTTTAATTGCATCTTCCCAACACCAATGTGAATGGTGATCAAAAATGTTGGTAGTTCTGATAAATAATTTACTGAAATAATGAATCTTGTTTTCACTGGCTAACACTTTTTTCCCTAAACATTCTATATGTGTATAAGAGAGAAAGAAGGCAGCAGAGGTGTCTGTTTGGGGGGGATAGTTTATATCACATTGGCACTGTGCCTTAGTGTCTGCAGTGTTTTATTTGTAGAAGCACCTAAAAAAGTTTCAATTTCATGTTTTCCAAGAGACCAGAGTGGTACGGCTGCCTGACCTTCCCAGGCTAAGTATCTTTATCTCCCCACATCCCAACTCTCCACATCAAGGCAGCCAGGAAATTAAGCCATCATGTATCAACTGGGAACTCCAAGGAACACAGATGGTTAATTTATCTCCCAATAGAACATCCTTTCTTATTGATGTTGCCAAACTCCTCAGGTACATCTCTCTGAACCTCATATAGATCACAGCACACATCAGCCCAGTATGTACTACCTGTCTAGCTGTGGGTTTGAATCACCTCATAGCATTGCTCCAGTCAATTATATAGAAGACTGGGTACCTTGGAGGTTTTGGTAAACAGACATGTGGTCTAAATTTGAGAGCTCAGTGAAGAGATAAATGAAAAGCTGTTGCACTTGTGCATATTCCAGGAAGAGAAGGGGACTAGGATTTTTCAACATTTCCCAATANTGTTGTTGACGTACTGGAGTTGTTGTTGTGACAGCTACTGGGGTCTTGTAATAAGCTGGAGCCTGGGCATCAGTGGCATACATGGTACGGTGGATAGGAGGTTCCATATGTAGAATACTGCCCTAGAAAGAATGGCATCCCTAAAGTTTAAGTAACCGGAGGCGGAAGCATGCACAGCAAGCATATGGCAATGGCAGCAAGAACACTGGCAACAAATGTTACATACAGCAAGCAGCTGAGGTAGTTTACGGCAAAGCAGCAACTGATTAAAGCAACAAGCAAATATTAACAAGCAAAATGTCTAAATTGGAAATGCAATTAACATTCTAAAGCATCCATCAATTTCTTTATTAAGAAGATAAACATAAGTATATTTCAAAGTACAGTTAGTCAAGGAGTTAGTGTAACATTTCTGTTGAAGTAATAAATCTATTCCTCAAGCTTCATATCCCCAAAATGATTTTTTGGTGTTAAATAGTTTACAAAATAGGATTTTACATCAACTACTACTAGCCAAACACTGCCATTTATCCTAACAAATATAGTTATATAATTGCACAATGTACCATAAAAACCAGCTGCCCCTAAATTTTCTCCCTGATACACAGTGTGAAAAGGGGATAACTACCTGGCAACAGTAAGTAAACAATCAGTAAAAGTACTGAAAACAAATCACATGTTGGCATATCTTCAGTCTGAAGCACCATCTTTCTTCCACATACATGCAATCATGCAAATCAGAGCTGGCTCTGATACAACTTGCAGGTGCCCCCCCCCCCCCTTCCTTCCTTTCCCTTTTCTTTATCAGCATAGTCATACATGTCATGCATCTCCAGCAACATCCTATTCCCTGCCCTTTACCACAAGGTACACTAATCAAGGTACTAAATATATAACATGTACTATGTTACGGTACACGGTCCTTTGAACAAAGGAAGATTAATGTACAGATTCCTGCAGTCCACTTCCATGTTCACCATCTTGCACGGCTGATCAAAGCACACCTTATGAACACTCTTTAGATCCCCCTCCACCCCAATCCTTCCTGCTTGAACTGATCAGTTATCTTTGGACATGCAATGCCACGATGTACCCATGCAATCAGTCTGTACATGCTCTGGTGATACATTACCATACAGTCACTGCAAAAATACTATATAAGGTACTAGCTGAAGCTGTAGTACAAGTAAGCAGGTATCACTGGGTGGTATGAAGGAACAAAAAACTTTCCCAGAAAGTTCTATCAGCAGACACCAGGCAGGGCAGTCTTTCTCCCTATGATTACTTGATCTGGACAGAGATTACAGCTGTCTGATTTTTTCCTGTTGCACAAAATGGGCAAAGAAAGGTGGGCTCTGATTATTCTTGAGGGAGAAGAACTTGCTTTGGTCAAATGGACCAGCTGAAGGATTTGCCAGTACAAAACTCACATGCACTGGCTAGTTGCCTTGGGCTTCACCTGCACCTTGGTTCTGACTGTGTAACACATTAATATCCAAAATTGCAGGGCACTTACAGTATTCAAAACAGGGGAACATCTTTAGAGAGGAAAAAGACAATAAAACAAATGACACCTGCTTTTTGAATTTGGTGCCATACCATTATGCTATTCTGCAGTATAAACAGGTTGTGGAGAAATCAAAGCATTTCTTTCACCTGAATATGCTGCTGTAATAGATAACAACAACCTGTACAGTACATCAGACATACTGGGCCAGGATAGATCACCCACTTCACATTTCTCTTGCTGGAAGAGTTTGGGAGATCTGCCACCAGATATGCTTTGATTTGATGTTTCATGGGAAATCAACCTTGATATGTCAATAAGATAATGTGGGTACCCCATGTGTTTAGAGCCTTTAATGCAACAGTAAGTGTTTGCATAGGCATCATTCTACTTATATTGGCAAGAAGTCCTCTCCTCCCACATTTATGAGATTTGATGAATTTGTCCTAATACCAGCAACCTCTAACTGAACTTTACTTATGCTATGTATTAATATGCAATGCATATCCACAAAATGAATACTCTCTTCAAGGACAAAAACATTTTTCCTCCTAAATCCTTCACTAAGATGTACAAAACAGGTAAATTAAGCCCCTGTTTTCAGGATCCTTGCCTCATCTATCATTTCTCTCTCAGTAACTGCCCCAGGACCCAGTTTTTTCCTCTCTTTTTCTAATACAAATGTTTTGGCTACCTTCAAGAACACCTATCTCGTGTGCCCCTTTTTTTTTCTTTTTCCCAAGAGATTCATTATCTATGCCAGAAAGATAACACTACCTGGTGTTTTTAAAACAATTAATCAGTCTTTTTGCCAAAGGGAAAGGACAACCACCTCTGCAACACAATTTTCCTCCACATGAACTCCATACCATATAAGGTAAATGTAAAAAAAGAACACACCTGGAGCTGAGCTATTAGCACAACACTCATAGGCATGGATGGGTTCAGTGACATTTCAAAGATGGGCAGAAAAAAAAGAGCCAATTCTCATACATCAGGGAGGAACAGCTATGTGGGGGTCGTAAGCAATTACCCAAGATGTTAAGTAAGAAACAAATGCTATCTCCTCTCCTCTCTGATCATATCAGAGGAATTCAGGCACTTGCACTGCCTGTCTGCTCCAGAGATCACCACAAGATAGGGCAGATAGTTAATAGCCAGGTTATTTCTGTAACTGTTCCAAGCAAATGAAGACATCCCACAGATTTATAGCCAGTGATTTAGTGGTTTTTCCTCTGAGTGTGTGATGATATAATGACACACCTTGTTGTGGTAGACCCAACAGGTATTCTCCATCCTGCAGTGGGGAGCAGTGTACACAGCACTGCCCTGTTCAGGTGTGTTAACACTACACATCACTGCCCTCAGCCCCAGCAGGAAACACTCAGCAAGACAAACTTCCTAGAATCTGGGCTTTTAATATAACTTAACTGCAACCTAAAGGTTACACATGCTTTTGTCTAGATAAGAATCAAATTCTACTATTTTTTCACTTCCTTCTTTCTTTTCCTCTTAAATACTAATAATTTTTCCTTTGTATCAATAAACTATTGCAATTGGACTCTTATGTGAAGCAATAAATCATCAGATTAGAACCATTCAACATTCTAGTGTTTCTAATTGGAAACTCACAGCAAGACTAGTTTTTCTGCAGGCCATCATCATTAAAATAATCATTTCCGATAGCACTTATGTTCCATTTTCATTGACTGCCCAAAATGTCCTAACACCTGGCATGAAAACAGACAACCCTAATGTCAGTGATTCTATAATCTCTGCTATCTGGCACAGCAAGATATGCAAGCGATATTGCCCCCAATTTCCATGAAATCAAGGCTTTTACTGCATGTACCAAATAAATGATATCAGTGCATATTATACAACCACTGTACCCTTCCAGTAAATCAAAAGTTTGTCACTTTTAACCCCAGAAACTGCTGTGATATCATTAAGCTGCACAATTTTTCAAGGAAATTTGATTTCTTTTAGACAATTTGAAATGTCACAAATCTTCACTAAATTCAGTACCCATTAGAAGAGTTGTGTACCATGCCAAAGTACAGAAAGCAGCCAGCTGTTGTGAATACAGAGTTATAACCAAGCCACAGAAGATGATGCCAACACAGCAAATAGGAAAACCAATCAGCATTAGCTAGAGTCTTTCTCGATAGCACTTCAATTTCAAATACCATATCTCATTAATTATTACTCTTATTTTATGGGGTTATTGTATTAAAGTAAGAAATATAAATACAACATACATATTGATACTATAATAATTGTTATCATGAGGTATATAAAATTGAACTTACAAATCACCACCATAAAATATATAGCAAATAGGGAGATTTTCACAATATACACTCAGATTGGGATCCTGGATACATACAAATACATCAGTGTTTATACAATCCCAGATTCGTAGACACTTTTCACAATTCCTCAAACTGCAAGTATAATCCCCAAGTGTAAGAAGTCTCAGAACCCGTACAGTACCTCAGCAGGGGCAGCTTCCATCATGGCGGCCTCGGTGACATCAGCTGGCTGGTACTGTGGTGGCTGGGCGTACATCAGCTCTCCTGGGGCCTGCAGACCCTGGAGTTGCTGAAGCTGTGCTGTAGGGTACAGACCATAGGGGCTAGCTGTGCCAGGACTGGCCTGGAGGGGGGAGAGAAAGAGACTGTGTGAGTTCTTTTATTACATGCCTTATTAAAGACAACTGTGTAACTCACTTCAGTGATGTGTTATAAGAATCATCTTAATGCTTTTACATTTTGCCTCTTTATTTTTGTTCAGATGAAAGCTATCATCAGTAAGTTAGTTCAGCAGGTGACAAAGAGCCAAGTGCTGTCAGAATTTCACTTATAAAACTGATTTCTTTTTTCTTTTTTTTTTATTTACAGCACTTAAAATGTTTAGATCTGTCTTAACTTATTATTAACAACAGAGTGATGCCTGTAAACAATGCGAGCCTAGCTGTCCTCTGTAAAATACACGTAAACATGCTGGCTACCCTCAGCAGAATGAAAAGTTTGGCAACAAATTGGGTGCAAACTTTGGTGGCAAGAAGTTTGAAAAAAGTTTTCATATCCTTTCAAATCTAAAACAAGCCTCATGAAATTGTATGGTAAAATCCCTTCTTGCTAACTTGAAACAAATTTGCAGCAAAACAGATTGCAAGAAGCCTAAGATTTTGCTAAGGGCACTCCTTCATTTTGTCAACTTACTTGTGGTGCCCATCTCCAGGGTGCCGCGGCTGTGGTCCACTGGTGTTGTGCACTCTGAAATGAGGACAAAGAAACCATTATGAAGAGACACCAGCCCATTGCAGCAGGTGTGTGTAGCTGAGACTGAGGTAGTAGAGCAATGTCACTTCCAGATCAGTGCCTTTTATGGATGTGATTGCAAGAGAAGAGACAGCAAGTGCACAGCTTGGCTTCTCTACTGCCAAGATTGGAATTCCAGTCTTTTCTGTTGAAAGAAGTTGAACATGCACTCAGGCATATTCAAGGCAAAATTTTTCTTCTGTTTATATAGTTTATATATAAAGTTTTTGTTTCAAGCATTTAAACTGATGTTCACATTTCCTATTTCTGGTATATACTGAAATGATTTCATATCATTCAGGAAGCAACACTTGCTGATATTTCCTTTAAAAATGTTAATTTTCATTTTAATTTTCATTCATCATTTTAAACCCAAATTGTTCTATTTTAAAACATCAAATCATGTCTCTTAATTTTGTGTGCACTAAACTTCTCTTCTTCACAACCTACTTGTCCTAGGAAAAAAATACATGACTGCTGTTGCAACAAGGAAATTAAGAAGAAACATCTTAAAAGCAAGCATGAATCATCCAAACAATGTGTGCTATATATAATGACTGCTGTTGCCAAGATACTAAGGGGTCATCTAATGTTACAGTAATTATAAATAACAACATCAATAACGGTCAAAACAGTACCAGCTTTCATATGAACTTGTTCAATGTTTAATTTTGTGAATGCCTCCTCAAGAACAAAACCAATTCAAGTATGGAATCCTTTTAGTACAAAACAGTTAGGTAGGTATTGAACAAAACTGAAAAAGCCTGTCATAATAATAATAATAAATATCATGCACTTTTTTATATTAAAAGAACCCCACAATCTTGGTAATGATGACAATAATAATAATAATGACGAATAAAATAATGAAACAAATCAGCATTCAAAACTTTGAACTTGTGAATTAACCAACACCGCAAAATAAAGAACACATGCACAGGGCTTCATCCTGACGAACCACATCAGCTCATCCAGAACAGTAAGATAACCAACGTGTCTAAACTAACAACTCTGCACAGACAAATACTGTATTACCCCTTACCACATCCCATATCATTCAAGGCCCTAGAGATACATGTAGCAGCTCATAGCTCTGAAATGGTGGATATTTTGGTTTATATGAGGGGACATATTATTTTATTGAAGGAATTCTCTGGGCTAAACAAATTTAAGTTTAAATTTAAGGGAAGACAACTGAACCTTACACATACAATTATTTTAATTTCAACTGACATTAAAATTGATATCTATTGTCTATAGGAAATATTTTATATCATTCAAGCAAATTTAATTTATGAAAAGAAGAAATCTTGTCTTTACCTATATATATATATATAACCTACCACTAAATAAATCATTAAACACCCCCAAAAAAGCTGTTAACTAGTAATATGAACACCATTTCAAGATCATTTCAGATTATGATTAAGCCCACGTGCCCTTATGTTCTGTAGCAAAAACTTCATCTGGATGAGATATTTTCAGCAATTTATACCAGAACAGACTCTGAACCTCACTGATGAGAATTGAGAATTCGGTAGGTAATCTGTCCATTTTAAAGTCATAAATTACAAGTTCCCCCATCTTATCTCAGTGATTTAACTTCAAGTAAAGCAAATCAGAAAATGAAGTTGTTTTAGAAAAAGTTCAGGTAAACTTCTTGAAGAATAGTACTAGACTTGACCTGCCCTGCTCTATAGGACATTTAAGTCCTATCAAACTAAGTGAAAAATGACAACTGGACTGTAGCTAAAAGCAGTATATATTCCATCCACCTCACAGTGCTAGCACTGAAGCAGCTGTTGTCTGACCTGGTAACTTAGGTCAGGCAGTAAGTACTGCAGGTATGCTTCATTTACAACACCTACTTCAAAACTCTACCAGGCATGTGCTATATTAGACACAGAGTTGGCAATCCATTGGATTGCAGTTAGTTCTGGAAATACTTCATCTCATTTGAAGAACTACAGAAGACAAGATTGTGCTGTGCTTTATTTCTCTGGCTATTACTTATTGTTTCAGTGAAGATCTGAAAAATTTACATTCCGTAAAGCCACTTAAAGCCACTAATTGTCTAAAACTAACTCAATTTGGAAAGATGAACTCCGGTGCCCAGAAAAAAAACTCCTAGAGACCTAGCTGTAGCCCCTGGAGCATGCAAGGCAATTACCTCTCACAACCCTGCCTGAACTCTGTAGCTCTGTTATGTCTGGCTGGAATTACATCTTTAACATACTGAACAGGACAGCACAAGTCCTAATATGGAAGTTTAAATTTAAATGACCACATGTGGTTCTTTTATTTTGCATTGTCTGTCATGAAAAAAACTTTTAAATTAAATAACCATCTTTCAGATTTGTTGCCACATTTACTCTATTTCATCTGTCAAATCTTTGCCAGTAGGTAAGGATTAGAATTTCTTTATTAGTCTGTGATGGGAATTCCCAGCCTTTGCTCATTACCACTAACATCATAATACATCAAGAATCCATAATAAAATCCTCACCAGGGGCCAGCATAACAAGACATCAGGGGTCGTTGATGGACAGCTAACATGTTTGTACTTCAAGAGACCTACACACCTGACTACCTATAACATAATTAAAGATCACCCATCCACAATGCAGGCCACTATGCCAGGAAACTGGGCCACACTGGAGCATTGCCAGATGTTGGCACCTGACTGCTTCCTAAAATAGCTCTACTTCTCCAGCTGGTGTACTATTCCAGGCAGGGGTTTCCCCGGTTTTCCTGAGCCATAAATGGCACAGTGTAATCCAATGCTGTTGATGAGGTCACCAACTGGCAAACTCCACTGAGAACAAGGCTCCAGTGATCTGTGCCTTCAAAGGGAATACCTTGAAAATTTTGAGGACTGCCCTACTTGTTTAAAGAAAAATGTAGGATTTTCAACCCGATACTCAGCTAACCACTGACATCAATTACATATCTCCTGAAGTTATTGCGATCAAGCTTTGATGAAGAGGTTTTACTGATGAATTTCACACCATGAGGTCTCCAAGTAAACGACCTTTTTCTAATTGCATTATTATTATTTTCAGAATACTGCAAATAACATTCCAAACATGTTTTTCTTGCCATTTTCAGAACCCATTATTCACCCCTAGCTGGCACAAATTTTAAGCTGCAATATGATTCTGTAACTGCGCAGCACCTTATGTTATTACAGCACTGTTTACCCTACCAAACATTAGTCATGACACAGAAATGCAGGTGAGCTATTCTCTTCTGTATACCACTTGGCAGAATTGGGCTGTTACACTGGCAAGGTGCATGAAGTTGCCCTTTGCCTGTTTTTCACCTGTCTGGAGTTTATCATATCTTGATCTTCAAGTCTGGGGTTGGTTTGTGTAAACTGTTTACAGACAGAGCTGCTTGAAATCTGATTTTTCACAGTATTGTAAATAAGCACAGAGCATTAGGGGCTGATCTTTTACCTTTAACACATAGCCTTTTTTTCTCCTTTTTTGTCTTTAGTCTATTTATAGAATTTACTTTGATTCACTGTGAGTTCTAACAACCTACCCCTACATACATCATTTGTAAATACCAACTTCCTTGTAAGCTACATGTACACCCTGTCTTCCTATCTTGATCTTTTCATAAAGTAACTTCACTTCTACTGCATCCTTAACACCATCACCTATACTTCCCTTTTCACTACCTGTCAATGCCATTAAGCAGGTATTCTCTACTTCCTCCTGTCACGGTATGAAGTACCATGGAGCTAGTTGAGCATTATGCTACCCCAGTCCCCATATCCCCTAGACTAGATATACTAGGTGTCCCCCCAGGTTAAAGAAGCGCACACACTGCATAGATGCCCCACTTACCACAGGTGGCTGGTAATACTGGAGATGACCAGGCTGGTACAGCTGGGGCTGGTGGGTCATCAGATACTGCTGCAAGGAGAATATGACAATGTGTTATTTACTGAATATTAATATTACACAATATTATTGAAATATTATTCTGTAACAAAACCTTACCAGCCTGTCGACACTATGGACCCTATCAATTGACCCAAAGCAGAAATGATGACCAGTAATTCAAATTCAATAATTTTAATTATTTAAAATTTTACAGGTTGGCTTTTAATGCCCATTGACGAGTACAATATTAACATTAGTGCCTGATGTTAACAGTACCCCAATTTGTAACATTACCTTAATATAATATCAAAACGCACATCAGTCATGAAACACTTGCGTTTAAATTGAAGTACACATCTTCCCCCTCTTTTCCATGCCGAAAAAAATCACAAAACTCACACTACCCAAATATTACAAAATACCTCAGCTTAGAAATTCACTTTTATACACTTTCACTTATACACTCTTGCTCCTCTTTACAACCTATATTATAACATCTTCCCCCCTCCCTCTCCAAAGCCCTGTCTGCCAACTAATTGGGGCATGTAATGTTTACTGCCATATTACCTCTTACAAGTCTGCAAATGCTTGAACTGACAACCTTCATTACAGGTGAATGTTAAGTGGTATATTAATTGCATCTTCCCAACACCAATGTGAATGGTGATCAAAAATGTTGGTAGTTCTGATAAATAATTTGCTGAAATAATGAATCTTGTTTTCACTGGCTAAGTCTATTTTTTCCCCTAAACATTCTATATGTGTATAAGAAAGAAAGAAGGCAGCAGAGGTATCTGTTTGGGGGGGATAGTTTATATCACATTGGCACTGTGCCTTAGTGTCTGCAGTGTTTTATTTGTAGAAGCACCTAAAAAAGTTCCAATTTCATGTTTTCCAAGAGACCAGAGTGGTATGGCTGCCTGACCTTCCCAGGCTAAGTATCTTTATCTCCCCACATCCCAACTCTCCACATCAAGGCAGCCAGGAAATTAAGCCATCATGTATCAACTGGGAACTCCAAGGAACACAGATGGTTAATTTATCTCCCAATAGAACATCCTTTCTTATTGATGTTGCCAAACTCCTCAGGTACATCTCTCTGAACCTCATATAGATCACAGCACACATCAGCCCAGTATGTACTACCTGTCTAGCTGTGGGTTTGAATCACCTCATAGCATTGCTCCAGTCAATTATATAGAAGACTGGGTACCTTGGAGGTTTTGGTAAACAGACATGTGGTCTAAATTTGAGAGCTCAGTGAAGAGATAAACGAAAAGCTGTTGCACTTGTGCATATTCCAGGAAGAGAAGGGGACTAGGATTTTTCAACATTTCCCAATACCAATCCCATCGATATAAGAAGTCAAGAGCTGATGTACACACACATTACCCCAAAAGCCATCATAATCACCATGTCCATGTTGTCATTCTTACATATACCTGATACCTACAGACACTGTTAACTATAAAGTTACCTGTGGCTGAGCAGGGACAGCAGCTCCTTCTGTCGTGGGGAAGACTGCCATTCCATTTTGGTAGGTAAATGGTATGCCATTCTGAAACATGATTGTCCCTGCCTGGGGGATTGTGCTCTCTGAAAAAACAGGGTTAGAAATGAGAGAATCAAGGTGTATAAAGTGACAAGCTTGCTAAGAAAGAAAGTAATCTTTAGAGAGAAAACTGCCAGTTGTTTTTTTACATAAAATTACATTTCTTAGTAGTATAACAATTTTTACACTAACAAATGCCTGTTTACCATTTTAAGTATCAATAGCTTAATTATGCATAAAATATATTAGTGATTAACTTTTCTATTTATTTCTCTATTTCATTACATCATTTTCTGAGATCAGAAACCTGTAATTTAGCTACACTTACCATAAAGCCTGGGAAAAGCCTGCTGCAAAATACAATATATCAGCATTACTGTGCAATGCAATCAGAATGTTTACTACATAACAACTAGTTGTTTGAGCCTTTACTCGATTTATCAGAACCACATGCTGTTATCATCATTAAAACAATTCATCAAACTGAATGTACACCCTTCCCTTTCCAATTTTTTCCTGTTATGGAAATTTTACAATAAATGTCTTCAACTTACCTGTTTTCTAATGGCAGGGCCAATGTTCAATTTCCTGTCTTTAAAAACCAGATTGTCACTTTGCTGAAATATCAACAAGAGATTCAAAATCAATGGATAATATTTAAAATCAAACTTTAATTTTTCTTTTATTTATTGGGTAAATCAATTGTTTTAATTTTTTTCAAGTATAATATGTAAGAGATCTCTGAACACGCAATTCAGCTGGGCTCACCTCAGTTTTGATAATTTTTTCAGCATCTTCCTGTGTTTCAAAAGTTACAAAGCCATACCTGAAACAAAGGTGAAATGGCAAATGTTTAGTGTAAAGAAACTGGAACACCCCACAACAATTTATCAAGTCTAAGAATAACTATAAACAAAAGTCACAATTATTTCAATCAGCAATTTTAGATGGAATTAGAGTATGTGAACACTTCAGTATAATCTTTAAAAGATTTTTTTATCATTTTGGGATTTCTTCACTTTTTAGCATTGGATAAACAATTATAAAAGCAAACCCTGGTGCATTTGCTCATCACAACCCATTAGTTTCAAAGAAATAATACTCTCTATATCTCAACTAAATAGCTTTTAATGAAACTTGCTGACATATACATCCCAGGGAATAAACTCTCTACATCAATAAGTGACAATGTCAGTTCATATTCAATCTTCAACCTTTTTTCAAATCCTTTACTTCAAAACACCAAAGCCATTAAAATGTGGTCTGTTTGAAATGCTGAAGAATATACACCATCTATTCTGAGGGGGAAAAAATGAAGATGTTGACAGCACTCACCCTTTACTTACACCTGCCCTGTCAGCTATAATCTTGGTGTCTTTGACAGCACCAAATGCAGAGAAATAGTGCCTCAACTCTTGCTCTGTTGTCTGGAAGAAATAGGAGATATTTATTTCACTCTCAGGCTATAAAACGAAAAGGCTTTACATAATCATTATCACAATTATTATTAGGTTTATTACTATTTTTGTTCACAATTTGCCAAAAAAATGACTTTCAGTTCTGTACAACAAGGAAACAATCCAACTTGTGAAATACATCACCAGATAGCTTGGTAAAAAATATTAGACAATCTGTACAACTTACATTTGGTGCTATCCCTCCCACAAATATCCTGTTTGGTATCACAGTCCCATACTTTGGTGCATGTGTTATCCCAGTAGGGGTGCCAGGACTAGGACTTGGGGACTGGGAGACCGACTGGGTATCCGAGGACACAGACTAAATAAATATTAACACACTGGTCACATAGCATTAAAAGGCATTTCACATATCATAAATAAATGTTTCACATAGCATAAATGAACATTTCACATAATTATCACAAAATATAAAATGTTTCACATATCATAAATACTTTTTTATATAATGAAAAAATAATAATAAACATTCGGGTATGGAGTAACAGAATGTTTGATAACCCATCCACCCCCTTTTTTCAGTAGTATTTATTTCCCAATTGCAATTTTCAATACTTCAATACTTATTTTTCTACAAATCCTGTCATTCTTTTATCTCTTTTACAAATATAAAGAAAAGAAATCTGCTAGACAAAGGAAGACTCCCATTTATCCAGAGTATTTCACAAAATTACCCTTATATATTTTAAGATACTTGCTAATAAATCACAACATTCCTTTACTAGACAATGGAATGTTTGATAGCATCCTAAAAACACTGGTAAAATGGAGTTAAAATTTTTCAATTTGCCTTATTTCAAAGTCGGAATACAGGCTTTTAACAGATTATAAATAGTTTGTGTGCATATCTTTTTCAAATGCCCATGCTTCTCATCACAATTAAGACATCAAATCATGCCCATACAGCAGTATTCCATCTATTTTCAATAATTTCAAATCTGAATTTGAAATATCAGACAAACTTACAATGCTATTCCCTAAGTAAAGATTTGCCATTTGCAAATGAGGGAATATATTACTTAAATTGACCCTCAAGCAATGATAGAGGAAAAGATTCTTTTCTGCAATGTTCACAGATGTTTTACATCATACTTTCTTGAAAACTTGCCTAGAAATATTACAAAGTAACAATCACAAAGATATACTGACATCCTGTATGGCATCTAACTAGTGACTACATCTCACATCCCCACACTGTTTACTCAACACTGGTAATATGGGGCACATAAAATTATTCTTTATTTTAAAACTTTGCTGCAAAAATCAGAACCCATTCTTTCAGTCCTCATTCACAAACTAACAAGTGAGAGAAGAGTAGCAATGCAGGGCATGTTGATGTGGGTAATTATCATTATTTTGCTGGGGGACTCGGGAGAGGGGGGTTTGGGGAGAGGGGCAATACAGTAAAAACCCCTAACCCTAACTAGATAAGTACACTGGGTCATTATACCTGTCAATGGTCAAGGATACAGGCATTACTCATACATATGTTGTCACCAATTTACAAGTCATCAGCAATTTATTGCTTCAAACAACTGAGCCTGAAGCTATTTGAATTTCTCAACTCTGCCCTATAATGATTTTCGTACCATTTACTATATTAGATACCAAAATGAGTAACAACCATTCAAACTCACTTTTCTACCGTTTTATGAGACAATAAAATGTTTACATTTTTCATATTTTATTCAATGCATTTCTATCACTCGAAAGCTTTACATCGTTTGCAAACTGGGGTTGCCCATGAAAACAGACAAGTTTGCTGAGTGATCACCAGAAAGTTGGATAAAAATAGCCCGACTGTTGCACCTATATGAAAGTTCATACCGGGTAGTAAACGCAGTTTCAAGCTGTTTCAGATACTTAAAATATTTATTTCTTCGCCAACTTAGTTAAGGTAGATCACTTTAGTCCATCTTCAAAAAGATTCGAGTACATCTGCCAGTAAATCATTTCACGCAGCCAAACAATTTATCAGTGAAAGCCGCCAAATTAATATTTTATTATTATTACACAAGATATAACGTATAACTGACCTTCTGCTAGTTCAAAAGAGTAGGAATACTTCCCTTGTAACATGAGCAGGGAAACGCGTGCGATCTATTATCTGGATTACTAGCATCTACAGCGAGGGAAATTTGAGACGATCGGAGCATTGCCATTTTAGCTCGGAAGAGCTGATGAATATGCGCCGAAATATATCTGCTGAACAGACAAAGATCGTGGAATATTTTTCAATAAACAAGGCTATGATTTCCAACATCTTGCTCAGTTTATCAAGAAATCGTGAACTTACCATATTAATTCAGTGAAAAATCCTCCAAATTCCGAGTGAACCAGTCGCCGATGGATCAATAAACACAAATCGCGGACCACGAACTCCGTGCACTGCCGACAACTTCTGCTTCCCGGCGCAGTCCTTTCCTGGAGGGGTGAAAGGATGGGGTATTCCAATATGCCCAAATTTTACCTCTGGGTCTTTTTTCTAAAACTATTCCTCAGATAGCTAAGTTCTGAATCATTAAACTGTACAAATTGTTATTTTTGTGATTTCTCTGTAATTACTGAATTTTTTTCATTTACCGCAAAATTTATGTCCACTTTTCTGATAGATAAACTCGGCCGTGAGCAGGCGACTGCCATCAATCATGTGGTCTGGGCACGTGCCGGGGAAGTTTCCCGCCCACAGGCTGACAAGAAAACTGTTTTTATCGGGTTTATAAATCTTTAGATGCACTAAGCCACCTGGACAAAGGAATTTGACTCTTCTACATGAGTATAGGTGTATCTTCAAATCTTGAGCCACATTTTATGTTAGAAAATATGAAAACATTCCGCAGGTAGAGATGGACAGATGTTGGGGGAACTCATTGACACCCCCGCCATTTTTGTCACGTGCGTCAATATTGGTCACCAGAAGATTAGCACTGCCTGAGTTTCTGTTTGATTCTCAGAAAAATAAAGTGGATAGTTCATCAAAAATAAATGGATAGCGCAAGTTATTTTTTGTCAGTCGTTTTCATTGCTGTTTGCTGAGAATAACAGTTTTGTTTTCAAAGTCTGGTGATTTTGTCCTTTTTCAAAAAGGAGGACATCGGGGGAAATGGACTTTTTTTTTCGTGGAATTTAGTGATACAATGTAAATTTAGAGCAAGCAGTCAGAGTGAGGGGGGCAGTTATTTTTTCACATCGCGTTGACTGTGTAAGCATGGGCGAGTAGTCCTATTTGAGCAGTCTTGTTATGTANTCTCTCTTTTACAAATATAAAGAAAAGAAATCTGCTAGACAAAGGAAGACTCCCATTTATCCAGAGTATTTCACAAAATTACCCTTATATATTTTAAGATACTTGCTAATAAATCACAACATTCCTTTACTAGACAATGGAATGTTTGATAGCATCCTAAAAACACTGGTAAAATGGAGTTAAAATTTTTCAATTTGCCTTATTTCAAAGTCGGAATACAGGCTTTTAACAGATTATAAATAGTTTGTGTGCATATCTTTTTCAAATGCCCATGCTTCTCATCACAATTAAGACATCAAATCAAGCCCATACAGCAGTATTCCATCTATTTTCAATAATTTCAAATCTGAATTTGAAATATCAGACAAACTTACAAGGCTATTCCCTAAGTAAAGATTTGCCATTTGCAAATGAGGGAATATATTACTTAAATTGACCCTCAAGCAATGATAGAGGAAAAGATTCTTTTCTGCAATGTTCACAGATGTTTTACATCATACTTTCTTGAAAACTTGCCTAGAAATATTACAAAGTAACAATCACAAAGATATACTGACATCCTGTATGGCATCTAACTAGTGACTACATCTCACATCCCCACACTGTTTACTCAACATATGGGGCATATTATTCTTTATTTTAAAACTTTGCTGCAAAAATCAGAACCCATTCTTTCAGTCCTCATTCACAAACTAACAAGTGAGAGAAGAGCAGCAATGCAGGGCATGTTGATGTGGGTAATTATCATTATTTTGCTGGGGGACTCGGGAGAGGGGGGTTTGGGGAGAGGGGCAATACAGTAAAACCCCCTAACCCTAACTAGATAAGTACACTGGGTCATTATACCTGTCAATGGTCAAGGATACAGGCATTACTCATACATATGGTGTCACCAATTTACAAGTCATCAGCAATTTATTGCTTCAAACAACTGAGCCTAAAGGTATTTCTCAACTCTGCCACATTATGATTTTCGTACCATTTACTATTTTAGATACCGAAAGGAGTTACAACCATTCAAACTCGCTTTTCTACCTTTTATGGAGCAAAAAAATGCTCCAATGTTTTCATATTTCATTCAATGCATTTTCTATCACTCGAAAGCTTTACATCGTTTGCAAACTGGGTTGCCTATAAAAACAGACAAGTTTGCTGAGTGATCACCAGAAAGTTGGATAAAAATAGCCCGACTGTTGCACCTATATGAAAGTTCATACCGGGTAGTAAACGCAGTTTCAAGCTGTTTCAGATACTTAAAATATTCATTTCTTCACCAACTTAGTTAAGGTAGATCACTTTAGTCCATCTTCAAAAAGATCCGAGTACATCTGCCAGTAAATCATTTCACGCAGCCAAACAATTTATCAGTGAAAGCCGCCAAATTAATATTTTATTATTACACAAGATATAACGTATAACTGACCTTCTGCAAGTTCAAAAGAGTAGAAATACTTCCCGTGTAACATGAGCAGAGAAACGCGTGCGATCTATTATCTGGATTACTAACATCTACTGCGAGGGAAATTTGAGACGATCGGAGCATTGCCATTTTAGCTCGGACCAGCTGATGAATATGCGCCGAAATATATCTGCTGAACAGACAAAGATCGTGGAATATTTTTCAATAAACAAGGCTATGATTTCCAACATCTTGCTCAGTTTATCAAGAAATCGTGAACTTACCATATTAATTCAGTGAAAAATCCTCCAAATTCCGAGTGAACCAGTCGCCGATGGATCAATAAACACAAATCGCGGACCACGAACTCCGTGCACTGCCGACAACTTCTGCTTTCCGGCGCAGTCCTTTTCTGGAGGGGTGAAAGGATGGGGTATTCCAATATGCCCAAATTTCACCTCTGGACCTTTTTTCTAAAATTACTCCTCAGATAGCTAAGTTCTGAATCATTAAGCTGTACAAATTGTTATTTTTGTGATTTCTCGGTAATTACTGAATTTTTTTCATTTACCGCAAAATTTGTGTCCACTTTTCTGATCGATAAACTCGGCCGTGAGCAGGCGACTGCCATCAATCATGTGGTCTGGGCACGTGCCGGGGAAGTTTCCCGCCCACAGGCTGACAAGAAAACTGTTTTTATCGGGTTTATAAATCTTTTGATGCACTAAGCCACCTGGACACAGGAATTTGACTGTTCTACATGAGTATAGGTGTATCTTCAAATCTTGAGCCACATTATTTGTGAGAAAATATGAAAACTTTCCGCAGGTAGAGATGGACAGATGTTGGGGGAACTCCTTGACATCCCCCGCCATTTTTGTCACGTGCGTCAATATTGGTCACCAGCAAATTAGCACTGCCTGAGTTTCTGTTTGATTCTCAGAAAAATAAAATGGATAGTTCATCAAAAATAAACGGATAGCGCAAGTTATTTTTGTCAGTCGTTTTCAATGCTGTTTGCTGAGAATAACAGTTTTATTTTCAAAGTGGTGATTTTGTCCTTTTTTAAAAGGAGGACATCGGGGGAAATGGACTTTTTTTTCGTGGAATTTAGTGATACAATGTAAATTTAGGGGGGCGTCTCGATAGTCCGAAGGTTCATTGGTCCGAAGGTTCATTGGTCCGAAAAGTGGTAACATTTTCATCGATTTTTTAATCAAGGGTTCATTGGTCCGAAGGTTCTATGGTGAACATTCGGACCAATGAACCTTCGGACTATTGAACCTTCGGACTATCGCTACGGCCCCTAAATTTAGAGCAAGCAGTCAGAGTGGGGGGGGGGGGGGGCAGTTATTTTTTCACATCGCATTGACTGTGTAAGCATGGGCGAGTAGTCCTATTTGAGCAGTCATGTTTTTATTTTATCACTGTAAAAATTATTTATTTTCACCTTTTTCATATATTATTGCTATATGTGACCAAAATATGCCATGACTTCAAGGAGCTGACCCAAATAATATTGTTTTAATAAATCTTCAATGCACGTTTGAAGTGTTTTAAATTGAATTAAAACTATAATTGTTCATTATCAGTGTTAAATATATCGCACGGCGAAAGCATTCTTTTTAATCCAGCGTTTAACGCAATTAAGTTACTGAATCTACATTTATTAAAGATGTTAAGATGACCATTTGCAGAAAATATATAGGCCTATTTAAGTCTACCTCTTTTTTGTGCTGTCTACAAAGAGAGCTAAGAACAATAATTATTTTTGTTAAAATAAGACGTTAATAGCCTAACCAGCACTGCAAATCTGAGAAATTAAATGTAGGCTTACTATCCGCGTTTGACGTTGCCGCAAATTCATATTTTTTTACGTCTACGTGCACTGTCCAACCTCTAGGGCCTAATCTTGTCCAACTCAGACCTAAAAACTCAAATGATAAATTCATAGCAGGGTCTTACCTGATGTCGACATTTTACTCCTGAATGAAATGCCGAATTTTTGTTCAGGGACGGGTCGAACAAATGATTCGTGAGTAGGTGAAAATTAAGGGCTACTTTTGCCCCGAAGAAAAATTTTTGGCAAAAAACCGTTAGAGTAGGCCTACCTTTAGCCTTATTACGAAATTTAAAACAAAAAAGAAAGAAGCTAGGTAAGCGTAAACACGAAAATACCTACGATTTCAAGAGAGGCTGAAAAAAAATTAGTTTCACTTAGGGGAGACCGGGGCTAGTTGGCCCAGTTAGACACGTTTCGCCTTGTAGAGCCAACTAGGAATAGGTTAGAGTAACAAAACCGGTTTCAAAGTAAGCCCCATGAACTAAGCTACGTATGCAACGTCATTATTTTTCAAATAGGCCCTATAATGCCAGATGGCTCACAATTTGACAAAAGACGCAGTTGGTGTCAAGGGTCGGGGCAAGTTGGCCCCCTATACGAAAATGAAGTATATATCCCATGTAAACGCCTTGAAATACATTTTTATACATTTTTAATTTATTAAATTGATTTTTTAGAGTCTTTGATGAATAAATAGTTCAAATGAGGCAGATTTATTGAGGTTTCCGTACGTCACGTTGTGGGGGGGGGGGTGGATGTGTTGCAAGAACCAAAATATCTATCAATAAAATTTGTTTTGTTTTAATTAAGAATTAGTATTATTAATGGTATAAAGCAGGTTTTTAATGAATGAAAACGAATAATAAATTTTCGTTTTAAAAGAAAGTAACAAATTCAGTTTTAAACCATTGAGTTTTGTTTCATACATGATCTCTAGCTAGGGAGGGGT